AGGATTGTGCGTGGGTGTACAGTGGATAGGGAGGGGAGGAGGGGAGCGGGTGGTATACGCGAGGCACGGAGGCGTTTAGTTCGGTGCGGCACTTTATCCCTTAAATACCCAGAGGTATTCTTCCCACGGAATTGTAGGTCTCCTTCTTTCCTCGGCTCGCTGAATGGCCCTGGATATCCTGGGAGGATAGAGAAGTTACCTCCACGCTCTATCTCTTTTTGCTCTTTCTCTTTCTCTCTTTCTCTCTCTCCATTCAACCTGTCTTCTTCGCTCTCGTGCCTTTTTTTCTCCGTTTCTGCTCACGAAGCAATTTATACGCGCCTCCACCTCGCAAACAGCCGCCCATTACTCGACGACGATAAAGCTCCCCGGGCTTTGCGAATGCGTCCGATCTTGCATGCGCAGCCGCGAGTTTCCGTGAATATATTGCACTGTCCGCGAGTTAAGAATCATAAGGAACAACTGAGAAACACACTCATCGTTCGCCGGTAATTTATATAAATCCCCATGCCTCCGGTCCGCCGCGATCACTTTCACCGATCCTAATCTTAACGCCATGCAGTGTACAACATGTCGCGTGAATTAAACGATATTTAATGCCACTTGCGTGAATCGGTTTTCTCGATAAAAAGGAAAACCGTATTAACGTGCAATTGAAAAATCCACTTTGCAGTACACATCTCGCTGAATCTCCATTTTCGCCGTCCCTCCCCTCCGCATTTCTGCTCTTATCATATATACTTTCCTTCTCGGTACGGTACTATTTAGAAACACGCAAGCGAAATAGCGTAATGACACACCGCGAAATCTAAGGTACATCTCGGGCGACGAAGTTATGGTAACTGCTGGACTTTTCCTCTATCGCGCGACATTCTTAAGCACTAGTGAGTCTACAAATATAATATGTCACTACTTTTTTTATAATTTTGCAAATATTTATTATAATTTTAAATAATCGTATTTCAAATGAAACCCTGTGGTTTTTTTTGTATTAAAAAGAGATTGCCTATTATATTGTTGATCCGCGTGGGTGTACAACTACACTATTTTGTTAGTACAACTGATTGTAATTTTATAGCCCGATTCGATAAACCTGACACCATAAACTTAAAAAAATTCGATATGCATCATATATGCATGTATCCATAAATCCTTATACCGCACCATATATTCTTGGAGTTTATGATTCGAAACTTGATTGTAAAGTTGGTTTTAAATCGAAAGTACTCGTTTTGAAGTGCCACAAATAAAGAACGGGATCAACTTCAGCGCATTCAGTAATTAGAGAAACTGACAATTTAATTTGATTTTACAGATGAGATCTCTATATATAAGTAAGATTTCGTATATCTTAGCTTTGACTTTTGATTACTTATTGATCAAAATACGTTTAAAAATATATTTTCTTACGTCAGCTTTCTCGTTAAAAGAGGAGATAGAATAGAATATAAGACATTTATTAGGCGCAGAACGAAAGATGTTTTTGCAATAGACGAATTCAGTTTGAGTGAGACGTATTTCAGTGATATCAATATATATTTAAACGTTTACTCAAGATTAAAACAAAATTATAACTTCTATCAATGTCTCAACAAATTCGTATAGATTTGTAAAATTATGCAACGTCTCGTCCGGATGGATATGTAGTAGCGATCCGTCGCGTTATCCTCAACAGGCAAATTCAAAGCTCAAAAAGCTTCGATCGTCATCTCGCGCTCTATGCCGCGCGAACATAGATACTGAATTTCATTGTTTTCCTGTTGTGCGATTCCTTAACAGACTTTTTCAGT